AGGCGTCGAAAAAAGTCATTATACGATCTCGAGAATATCAGAGGAGACGTAGATCTGAAAGAAAAAAATATTTAGACGTAAGAAGTAGATGTTTTCGAAATAAAGAATCCAAAGTTTATGGCAGGCTGTAAAATAAAATGGCTGTAATTCTAATATAATTTAAACCGAAGAGATAATTTTATTGAAGCGATGAAAATGACGAATAAATAAAAGGATAATTTTTTCTATCAGTGCCTTGTAATTTTTGTGACAGACTACCTTTTTACATATACCATTGTGATTCCGTTTGTACAATTCCAACTGGACTAATTCAGGTCTATCTGCAAGAATGTGTACTATTTAGATTGCGATTCATTTGATACTTCTAATACTATATGAAGCATTTATATTAACAGCTAGTCTATTTGGCATTTAATTCGGAACGCTGCTTGCAATTCTCTTCACTATATCACTTACATACGTCATTGTTTTCGCTCTTGCTTTCAATAAACATTCTATCACGGGAGGCAGATTAACGAGAGTACTTTTTGATGTTTGCAACAATATATTATGTAATGACGATAAGTTATGAGAGCATGTTGGAAGTGCCAGGATTGTCAAAATTGTTACTTTGCCTGAAATATGACTTTTAAATTCCGTTGTAGTAAGTATAGTGGGATAATTTGTTCGCGTATAATATAATTCTTTTGGCATATCTAATATACTCAGCGTAATTTTTTTTTAATTATTAGTATCTTGATAACTAATGTAAAGATCGCAAAATGGTCGAGAACTTTTTGATTCAGTTTAACCCACTCTATTCAATGGCGAATACAGGTGGGGGTGGAGGGGGTGATCGTCCCTCCAGAGCTCTCCAAACAAATTTCATATATTGGAAAAAGCCAGTTTAAAATAAATTGAGAAAAAAATTATCAGAGATTATTCGAGACTAAATAATGTTCACTCAATTTTTTTTTAAATAATAAAAAATATTAAAAATAACATTAACGACAATAATAACTAAATGTTCACATTTTGTCATACCGTCCCCCCCCAGAACAATTCTCTGGATCCGCCACTGCTCTACATGCCCTCCAGCGCTTTATCATTGAATACCGAACACTCTGTATATATGATCTGATTTAATTTCTTTATATGCAATATTACATTTCTAAATGTTTTAAACATTACCAGCAAAAATATTTGTCTCAATTATTGGATAATTTTTTTTCAAATTTAATTTGATAACTCTGCCGCTAAGATAATTTGCCATATCAATATACTGTTTTATCGAAATAATTAACGAATTTTGTTTGGTACCTAATAATTGCAAATTAGTCTTTACTATTTGAATGTTGTGTCATTGTATACGAACGTTTCAATAGATTTCACTATTGAGAGCATTTCAAAAAGATGGAACTATACATATCAAAAAATACTCGTATACCTAAAGTTTCGACTGATTGTGAGCCTGGATTTACTTTTTACCTACTTCTCGTTTAATGTATTTTACAAGCAGGTTTTTGGTACACCGATATATGGGCTCTCCGTTATTTCCGATTATTGCAGACATTGTTTTGCAAAATTTAGAAGACATTACAATAAATAGACTTATATTTATTTAGATTTAAAACGATAGAAAACAAGATTTAAATTATTTAACAAAATTTAATAACATTTTAAATTTTTGGCCAAACTCCATACCACTGTTTTACTGACGATTTATGCATAGGGTAAACCCGGTATACATATACGCCGCGCGAGGATTTACGCCGCAGAAGTCAGAAAAAATAGAAGAAATGAAACTAATTTTCTCGCAACCGCTGTGTTACATGTCTCAATGTTATATTAGTATTGTGATTTCAATTTTTTACTGTTAATATTTATAAAATTATTGTAAGTTAAATCGATTTATCACTGTAATAAGTAGTGCAATCATCAAGTTATTATCTACATAAAATGATTATTGTAGGAAATGTAAAAGGCTTCGTGGTTATTTCGTGGTATATAAGTGTAAAGGTTTAATAAAGGATAGAGTATAGCAAAATACAAGTGCTTAGCTCTTGTATTCTTTGTTTAGTTTATAGATCGGAAGAGCACACGTCTGAACTCCA